GACAGTTGCCTCGGTACTGTGCACACACTCCACCGACTACATGCACTTAGAGCATTTGTGTGGGGACACACACAATCGACTGTATAAAAACGCTTTCTACAAAACTGACTTCTATAAATTTGACCTAATTTCGTATTGTAGACATACCCTTAGAGACTAACAAATTTATTTGGGCATAATGATGGGCAAGATCCCCTGGGAGAAAAACATGAGGGGGAAAGGAGTCCAGGAGAGCTGGCTGTATTTTAAAGAATCCTTATTGAGGTTACAGGGACAAACCATCCCGATGTGTAGAAAGAATAGTAAATGTGGCAGGCGACCAGCTTGGCTTAACAGTGAAATCCTTGCTGATCTTAAACACAAAAAAGAGGCTTACATGAAGTGGAAGATTGGACAAATGACCAGGGATGAGTATATAAATATTGCTTGGGCATGTAGGAATGAAATCAGGAAGGCTAAATCACACCTGGAGTTGCAGCTAGCGAGGGATGTTAAGAGTAACAAGAAGGGTTTCTTCAGGTATGTTGGCAATAAGAAGAAAGCCAAGGAAAGTGTAGGCCCCTTACTGAATGAGGGAGGCAACCTAGTGACAGAGGATGTGGAAAAAGCTAATGTACTCAATGCTTTTTTTGCCTCTGTCTTCACGAACAAGGTCAGCTCCCAGACTACTGCACTGGGCAGCACAGCATGGGGAGGAGGTGGCCAGCCCTCTGTGAAGGAAGAAGTGGTTCGGGACTATTTAGAAAAACTGGACGTGCACAAGTCCATGGGGCCGGATGCGTTGCATCCGAGAGTGCTAAAGGAATTGGCGGATGTGATTGCAGAGCCATTGGGCATTATCTTTGAAAACTCATGGCGATCGGGGGAAGTCCCGGAAGACTAGAAAAAGGCTAATGTAGTCCCCATCTTTAAAAAAGGGAAGAAGGAGGATCCTGGGAACTACAGGCCGGTCAGCCTTACCTCAGTTCCCGGACAAGTCATGGAGCATGTCTTCAAGGAATCAATTCTGAAGCACTTAGACGAGAGGAAAGTGATCAGGAACAGTCAGCATGGATTCACCAAGGGAAAGCCATGCCTGACTAATCTAATTGCCTTCTATGATGAGATAACTGGTTCTGTGGATGAAGGCAAAGCAGTGGACGTGTTATTCCTCAACTTTAGCAAAGCTTTTGACACGGTCTCCCACAGTATTCTTGTCAGCAAGTTAAAGAAGTATGGGCTCGATGGATGCACTACAAGGTGGGTAGAAAGTTGGCTAGATTGTCGGGCTAAATGGGTAGTGATCAATGGCTCCATGTCTAGCTGGCAGCCGGTATCTAGTGGAGTGCCCGAAGGGTTGGTCCTGGGGCCGGTTTTGTTCAATATCTTCATTAATGATCTGGAGGATGGTGTGGATTGCACTCTCAGAAAGTTTACGGATGAGACTAAACTGGGAGGAGAGGTAGATAAGCTGGATGGTAGGGATAGGATACAGAGGGACCTAGACAAATTGGAGGATTGGGCCAAAAGAAATCTGATGAGGTTCAACAAGGACAAGTGCAGAGTCCTGCACTTAGGACGGAAGAATCCCATGCACCACTACAGACTAGGGACCGAATGCCTCGGCAGCAGTTCTGCAGAGAAGGACCTAGGGGTGACAGTGGACAAGAAGCTGGATATGAGTCGACAGTGTGCCCTTGTTGCCAAGAAGGCCAATGGCATTTTGGGGTGTATAAGTAGGGGCATTACCAGCAGATCGAGGGACGTGATCGTTCCCCTCTATTCGACACTGGTGAGGCCTCATCTGGAGTACTGTGTCCAGTTTTGGGCCCCACACTACAAGAAGGATGTGGAGAAATTGGAGAGAGTCCAGTGAAGGGTAATAAAAATGATTAGGGGTCTGGAACATATGACTTATGAGGAGAGGCTGAGGGAACTGGGCTTGTTTAGTCTACGGAAGAGAAGAATGAGGGGGGATTTGATAGCTGCTTGTAACTACCTGAAAGGTGGATCCAAAGAGGATGGATCTAGACTATTCTCAGTGATAGCAGATGACAGGACAAGGAGTAATGGTCTCAAGTTGCAGTGGGGGAGATTTAGGTTGGATATTAGGAAAAAACTTTTTCACTAGGAGGATGGTGAAACACTGGAATGCGTTACCTAGGGAGGTGGTGGAATCCCCTTCCTTAGAAGTTTTTAAGGTCAGGCTTGACAAAGCCCTGGCTGGGATGATTTAGTTGGGATTGGTCCTGCTCTGGGCAGGGGGTTGGACTAGATGGCCTCCAGAGGTCTCTTCCAACTCTGTTATTCTATGATTCTATGATAAGCTTTCGTGAGCTAAAACCCACTTCATCAGTGTCTACTTCAGGGCAGACACCTGCCCTGTCAGAAAAACAGGGCAGACACCTCAAGCTTGTGGTGTGTTCTATAATTAGATTTCACCAAACCAGTAACAAATGTGAACTCCTGGATCACTCTACCAGTCTTACCACAGAGTCACAAACAGTCCCCTTAGACTCTCCAGTCTTTCTTGCCACCCAGACAAACTAGGCTTTGTGATAAAGGGTCACTTAAAGCAAAAATCACACCACATCAGGTTACTCCCATTCCCAAGAAACCAGTCACTTACCCCAGATCAATTGGTACTCTAGATCTTACCAAAGACAAGGCAAGGCAGGTAGCTAATTCTATAGTAAATTAAGTAAAGGTTTATTAGCTAAGAAAAGGAAATGAGAAAGTTATTGAAAGGTTAAAGCTGGTAAAACTATGCACAGGTGAGTTGCAGTTTGTAATTCCAAATGGTGGAAGTGATGTAATAAGCTGCCAGTTTCCCAAAAGTCTATTCCGGGTACCCAGATTATAGCTGGGGATCTCTGCTTTGCATCTGGTACACTTCCCTTTAAGAGTCCAAACAGTCCAGAGATGAAGGACCTTTCGTGGAGTCCATGCACATAGCTTCTCACAGAAAACAAGCTGACAATGTCACTACCCACATGGGCTTTTCTTTTGCTGATGGAGAGTGAGGAATGCATTGTGAGTCTTTGACCTCCAATCATCACATACAATGACCACTTGCTTTGAAATTAGCACTTTTCTGTTAAAGTTCTTCATTTGCATTCCACGAGGCTTCTTTCTCATTTGATGGGTTACTTAGTTACAGGAATATACACAAAAGTAAATGTTTGCTACTACTTTATAATGGGATACAGATAAGTGAAACCAATGCAAGTAACATACCACTAGTTTTCATGAAGTTTAAACATCAAATGCACTCATACATTTAACAATCACTTTGATCCATAGACAACTCATGTCTCCCCATATTGGAAGAACACAATGTAAAGGAGAGGATATGTGACCGCCCCATGTGTCTCCTCTGCTTCCTTATCCAGGGTACCTTTCTTTCTTTCTTTCTTTCTTTCTTTCTTTCTTTCTTTCTTTCTTTCTTTCTTTCTTTCTTTCTTTCTCTTACAGATGTAACTCTGCATGTTCTCATTGTCCAAATAAATGCCTCATATTTTCTACAATCCTACAAAGCTCTTGGCCACAGTGAGATCTTGTAGCAGTGAGTTCCATGGGTTAATCATGTAGTGTGTAAAAAAAAAATCCTTGTGTCATTTAAAAAATTTCCCTCTTGCAACATAATTGAAACTAGGGTGACCAGGTGTCCAGTTTTCGACCGGAACAAATGGTTGAAAAGGGATCCTGGCGGCTCCAGTCAGCACTGCTGACTGGGCCATTAAAAGTCCGGTTGGCAGTGCTGTGGCACTAAGGCAGGCTAGTCCCTACCTGTCCTGGCTGGCACCATGCTGCATCCCACCCCGAGCACTGGCTCTGCACTTCTATTGGCTGGTTCCTGGCCAATGGGAGCTGTGGGGGTGGTGCCTGCGGGCAAGAGTGGCTCATGGAGCCTCCTGGCCCCCTGGCCTAGGAACCAGATCTGCTGGCTGCTTTCGGGGTGCGCACAGCATGGTGCCAGGACAGGCAGACAGCCTGACTTAGCCCCCATGCTGCGCCGCTCAGAGCTAATGAACTCAGAGAAGTGGGGTCCAATCAGCCCTGAACTTTGGCTCCATCAGCATCCAAATTGACACCTCAGGCAGAGTGATTGTTGCTGGTTGAAATATTGTTGTTACCCGCGGTTCTGTCAACCCAAAGCTCTTGGTAACGTTTACTCTGTGCGAGGTGGTGTCAGGAAATAAATCAGGGGAGACATGGCCGTTCGACTGATCGATAGCTGGCACAAACAGGACAACACAAGAGTGCTTTCACTTAAAGCTGAACTTTACTTAGTCTCAAGCACTTACGCACAATATCCGCAACAGGTTAGTAAAACACCCTTGATAATTACCAAAGCTGAGCGCGGCTCTTGAGTGGAACAGTGGCAGTCCATCTGCCGCTGGGGACTGCAAGATGTATGCAGAGGGAGAGTCCAGAAGAATCCAATTACCTCAACCTTTTTCCCCCTTATTTATACATTAGCAATAGAATGACATGTCCCTTAAAGAAAACTTGTTAAGTAAGCAGTTTCAATAGTCAAGCAAGAGGTTCCTTCTGATTATTGGTTAACCAGGTGTGGTTTTTTCCAGAGTTTTCAGGCTTGAGGCCCCAATAGACATTCCTGGGGCATAACCTGCTCTTCTAAAATGCATGTATCAGCAACTTCAACACAATTCTTATCAGGAAGGACATGGGGTCAAGCTGCCCTTTCTGTGGCACCCAAAACGCCCTCCCCTCCTGCCTTGCTTAAACTAAGCCTGCTGTCTTGGCTGCTTTTAGCAATAAGCCATAGTGGTTTCAGGCACTTTACTGGTTTGCTGACATCTCCCCGTACAGTGTGTTCCGTTTTTTTGTTTTCTGCAGCCTGCTTTTTGCCCCCTGACCCAGAGCAAGGTCAGTCTCCAGCTGGCATCAGGTCAATATTCCTCACAGCATGTGAGGTGCCACCTGGGACTTCCGGGAAAGTCCAGACCACACGCACTTGACAGCCCTGGCCCTGCTTCCTGTTGTAGCATGTGGTTTAACAGCTGAGCCAATTTCCACTGCATAGGGTTGCCAGGTGTCTGGTTTTCAACTGGAATGCCTGGTCAAAAAGGGACACTGGCGGCTCCAGACAGCACTGCTGATCAAGCTGTTCAAATTCCAGTCGGTGGCACAGCAGGGCTAAGGCAGGCTCCTTGTGGCTCCCGGCAGCAGCGGCATGTCCCGCCTCCGGCTTCTAGGTGTAGGGGCAGCCAGGGGGCTCTGCACGCTGTCCCTACCCCAAGCTCTGGCTCTGTAGCTCCCATTGGCTGGGAATGGCCAATGGGAACTGCAGGGGCGGCACCTGCCGACGGGGCAGCACATAGAGCACCTGGCCATGCTTCCGTGTAGGAACCAGAAAGGGGACATGCCACTGCTTCCGGGAGCGGCTTGAGGTAAGTGCCACATGGAGCTTACACCCCTCACCCCCTCTCATGCCCCAACCCCACCCCAGCCTTGATGATCCCTCTCCCACCTTCCGAACCCCTCGGCCCCAGCCCAGAGCACGCTTCTGTGCCCCAAATCCCTCATCCCCGGCCCCACAGCAGAGCCTGCACCCCAGCAAGAGCCCTCACCCCCTCCTGCACCCCAACCCACTGCCTCAGCCTGGATCCCGTGCCACACCTTGAACCCCTCACTTCTGGCCCCACCCCAGAGCCCACACCCTCAGCCAGAGCCCTCACCCCCCCTGCATTGAGCCAGCCCGTGAGAATGAACGAGAGAGTTAGGGTGGGGGAGAGAGAGTGACAGAGGGAGAGGGGATGGAGTGAGCAGGTCCGGGGGTCTCAGAGAAGGGGCAGGGCAGGGGTGGAGCCTCAGATGACGGCTGGGACAGGGGCAGGGCAAGGGTGTTCGGTTTTGTGCCAGTAGAAAGTTGGCAACCCTAATAGAAACAACCCTTGTTCCTGCACGATGAGAAGGTGAGCAGGAGCATTCAATTCACCTTCTCAAAGCCATTAGTTATTCAGAGTTCGAATGGCCTCTCTCATTGACAGGTGACAGTTGTCTCTATTTTACGAATGGAGAAACAAACTTAACCCGGTTAATAGGTCAGACGAGAAAGGGAGCCAGGCTTGTTGCTGGGTAGCCAAGAGATGGGGAAGATGGCAGTGTGCTCACCTCGCCCAGGGTGCTGAGCCTGGTGACTGGGCAAACCCTGGGGGAAGGAAGGCTGACTAAGCCGAGCAGAGGGGTGATGAGAGGAGGAGAGCTCCGTCTGAGAGAGTGTGGGTGACCCCCTGACTGTCTCCCCCTGCCTGGGGGGAGTACGGGCGACCCCCTGACTGTCTCCCCCTGTCTGGGGGGAGTGTGGGTGATCCTCTGACTGTCTCCCCCTGCCTGGGGGGAGTGCGGGTGATCCCCTGACTGTCTCCCCCTGCCTGGGGGGAGTGTGGGCGATCCCCTGACTGTCTTCCCTGCCTGACGGAATACGGGGCGATCCCCTGACTGTCTCCCCGTGCCTGGGGTGTTGCTTATTTTGCCCTGAAATGCATTTTCCAGACTACTCTGGGAGAGATCAACTGGACATAGAAACACTGAGGAGGCCCCCTACACTGTGAAGACTTTTTCCACTGTGTGTAAGACCTATTGCTGCAGCAGAGAGGTTGGCTTCTTGGGCAAATTGGCATGCTCATCACCTGGCTGCATGCGTTATGCCATGCAGGAATTTGTTCGAGGTGTCTCAATTTTTGACAGGTTTTTGTTTTAAAAACATTGTATTGTTGTGTATTGGCAGACTTATCAAGTGTTATTCTATAAGAAGAAATATTGGAGGAACTGGCTTTAAGAAGGGCAAAGATAACTTGTACAAGCTTCCCAGAAGCAGTTGCAGTTTCCAGGAGTGGAGGTAAGTCGCAAACACGACACAAAAGGCCCAACACCTCTGACTATGAACAACCCAGCACCTCCAGAGCCTTCTCTTTACATGAGGACTCAAAGGAAGCAGCTTTTAAAAGGGCAAAGTTAGCTTCTGTAAGATCCTCTGAAGCAGCTGCAGTTTCCAGGGTCGGGGGTAAATGGCAACCACGACACTAAAAGGCCAACACCCCCAATTCCGAACAACCGTGAGCCTTTTCTACAAACACCTGGCCATCTGTCGGCTTGACAGGGACAAATGGTTTTGATGCAGCAATTGCTGGATTGTAAAGAGCTTTTCAGGTTCTTAGGCATTCAATAGAGAAAAAGAATCCAGTTTTTAATTTGTTTCAAACACAAGATTTGCCAGAAGAGAGGGAGGCCTTAAATCAAAAGATAACAGAAACATAGGCAATGTTTGTAAAACTGGAGAAAGTGGTGAAGGGTAAACAGCTCTGACTAAACATGAAATCTAAAAATGAAAAGAGGGCTATGAAAAAGAAAGTGGGAGAGATCTAAAAGATTGAGGAGATGCCCTTTACAGAGGTAGAAGGAATGAAATTCTTGCATGGCATACCCCATATTCTTTTTGTTTCTTTTTTACTAACAATCATTTTAAGTAAGGCAAGACCAAAGTGTAAAAAAGAGATGGTGTGTGGGGGGAAGAAACTTTCTCTTATTGCTACACAAAACAACAACCTTTATATCAATGGCTGTTTGTAATGGCAACAATGGGTGGCGTGTGACTCCTGCATTTGTGGAGGCTGGGCTTGAGTGCCAGAAGCTCCCTAGAAGTGTGTGCGGGAGGTCCACCAGCGCCTGGAGTGTGGCCCCGCTCCCTGCTCCGTTCTGAGGCCCCCCCACTCAGCCTCCTCCCCCTGAGGCTCTGCCCACGCTATACCCCCACTCTGCCCCAGGCCCTGCTCCCTCTTGGCCTCCTCCTCCGAGGACCCCCCCGCTCATGTCATCTTTGCCCCCTCCACTGCTGGCACCTCCACCCTTTCTGCAGAGGGGCCTTGGGGGATGGAGCAGAGAGGCCTCAGGGAAGGGGATGGAGAGGTGCGAGTGGTCAGTGGGGGGGGCCTCAGGGCAGGGGGCGGAGAAAGGGCAGGACCTCAGGGAGAAGAGCCAGAACATTGCAAACTCATATTAAAAAACAACAACAACCCATATCATCTTCTGTATTGTCAGGAAAAACTATCATCTGTTGAATTTGACCTCCATCTTGATCTAAATTAAAAATAATAATAAAAAAGAAACTTTAAAAACATTTTTCTTCCAAAAATAAAACCATAATTCTGTAAAACATTAAACATGATCTAACCAAAATTTGTTGACCCTTCTAGAGCAGCTTGTGATATTTCAAGGAAAAGGCATTGGCCTATTTAAAATTAAATGCTGCTGTTTTTTGCTGACCACCCCACATGCATCAAAACATGGTGGCACACACAAAATAGTATTTTTTGTTTTACCATTTCATTGCTCCCCATGGAGGCAGACGTCTTACATAAAAGTACATCAGCAATATTTCTTTTGAACACTATGTCCACTTTTCTCAGTCTATGTATAGGACTAATTCTGTAAAAAAAGGTGGGCCCCTAAAATTATTTTTTTAAAAGTCATTTCTTCAAAGAACCAAGGTGAGGGGGTCAACGGTTATCTACCTTCTTCATACAGTTTTCTTCTAGGAAAACACGGCTGGGGGACAGGAGTGGCTATGTTCCTGCATCATTTTTCTTCTTCATGAAATTTTAAAACTTTTATTGTAAAACAACTCTTTAAATTATTATTTTGGTAGTAACACCACACCGAATACATTATCAGTTGTAATATTGCTATTTCTTCACAATTTACACACCTGCAGAGTATTTTTATGGGGATTTTTCTTACTATGAACTTTAGACTAAAATCTTTGTTTAAGCTGTGTCACAGATATGATGATTATCTATAGTAAGTAAACTTGGCATCCCTTTAGGCTTACATTATTTAATTTTAATCCTGTGATTAAAAACGAATTTCACTGCAAAATGCTTTTGAAAAGCACAACCCTCTCCTTACTGCATGCTACTTTGTATTGAAACACACAGATAAACACGTTTTAAATAACATTTCACTATAAAACAAGTATTTACATCTCAGTCAAAAATGATCAGTGCTGTTTATTTATGTTAGCAAAAGATTTAAGAAAAAACGTCTGGGGGAGATGACTTTCTCTGATCACTGCAAACAGTAGCATGCAGCTTTTGTAGCATCTGCTGTTAGTAAAGGCACGAGTTTTTAACCCCTGCATATATATATTTCAAAAAGCGGCATTAATGTCAACGTATACCCCATGTTCTTTTTTTTTTTTTAACTAACAATAGTTTTAAGTAAGGCAAGGCCAAAGTGTAAAATAGAGGTCCAGAGAGCAACTTTCTCTTATCACTACAAAAAAATAGCGCACGGCTTTTACAGAATCTGCTGTTAGTAAGGGCATTTGTTTTTAACTCAGGCTCTTACTTAAATAACCATGGTGATCTGCTTCAGCCTTTTATCTTCATACATTTAGAAGTGGTGCCTCTTTGTTGCAAAATTCTGCTTTCTTAGTGTCACGTTTAGACCCCGTATAGCTCTACTCCTATTATGCAGTTATTCAACTTTTGTCTTTTTAAACTTTTATTTTAAATGATGGGAATATTATATTCACACTTTACAAGAATATCCTGTAAACCGGTATTACAGAGCTTCAATTAAAAGGTCTCCTTACAACTAAAGTCAATAGATGCTAATTTCCAGTAAAACTTTTAAGTAAACGCAATAAGAGGGCTTGACTTAACTTTCAATAAGTGGCTTTCTACCAATTTTAAAGGTAATTTAACTCCAGGAACAAAACTAAATGCTGTAAATAAAGAAATCTACACACATGTTCCCTTTGATTAACATTTGTTAAAACTTTCCTTGGTTTAGATTTAAAAAAAAAGTAGAAAAAATAGCTTTCTTAACTCTTTTACATAAGCTAAAGTTTTTTCATGTTTTGTATCAATCTAAAGCCTTCTTTACAACCAGTTTTTCCTTTAGGCAATTGTTAAAACTTTAAGGGGATTTTAAAAGTCAGGAAGTGGGGGAGAAACAGCCTTTTTATCCACTGTTTTACATAAACTGTTTTTTCTGTTAAGTTAGCCGCTGTGTGTGTGTGTTTTGTAGAAAGTTAAAGATTTCTTTATACAAGTTTTCCTTTAGGCAACACTTTAAAAAACAAGCTTTGTGACCAGAAAGGGTTACACAGCTAGCAGACTAATTGACTCAGATTCAACCTTTAGAGACATATTAGTAGATAATGATTGTGTTTTTTGTGTGTTTACATATATATGGATAGAGGTTGACAACATAACCAATTGGTTCCTGTCTGTCGCTGTATTCTGTTAATTCAGAGGTCAAAAGGAGATGTTAACCTTTAGACAAACTGTGAATGTAGTGATGTTATTGACTTTATTCCTCTTTGAAGTTTGTGGTAAACTACTTGAAAATGGGCAGTTGCCATATGTTATTCCATGCAGCTAATCACCAGTGGTGCTTAGGAAATAGGAGGTCACTTCAAAGCCACTATTCTTCACCCAAGGAATGCCTGCTGTCAAGAGGCTATAGATGGCCTGCCAGAGAACTATAAAAAGATCTGTTGGGCCCTGATCCTGTTATTTCAGGTCTGCTTAAGCTTCATCAGGGGAAGTTTGAATTACAAGATTTAGGGCCCCAGCTCCAGACTGGGTCACCCTGATGTTGGACATTGGATTATAATTTACAGAATTTATTCTGAAAGAACTTTTTGCAACTCTAAAGCATACTATCTCTACTATGAAACTGACCTAAGAACTCTATTCATACCTGTGTGTATAATGTCTTTTACCAGTATTTGCTCTTTTTAAATAAATCTTAGTTTAGTTAATAAGAATTGGCTGTAAGCATGTATTTGGGTAAGATCTGAAATATTAATTAACCTGGTGGGTAATGTGTCTGATCCTTCGGCATTGGTAGAATTTTTTATACGATGAACAAGATTTTCAGTAATCCTCATCATATTTCACTTGGCTGTCTGGGTGGGAGCCCAAGGCTGGATTGTTTCAAGGGAACTGTGGTTTTGGCTTCTAGGTAACCAGTAAGGTGTTGTAGAAGCTGCTTCGTTGCTGGCTTGGTGAATCTAAGTATTAGAAATAACTACCAGTTTTGGGGATCATCTACCTCATTCTTTGCAGTTTGCCCTAATTGAGCAATTTCAAAGTGGGACCCTGGTCACAGTAATGCTTTAAAAAACAAGCTAACAGGTTTTTTTAATAAGATTGCTGTGTTACGTTTTTTTTTAAAACCAGCCACCCGTCAAAAGCTATGCTTCTTGGGATAATATGATTGTTTCAGGAAAATGCGATCTACGACATAGCTATAGACCAGCTCCTGATTGGTCCAACTGAGGAGGCGTGGTTTGACCCCAGAATTGCTGGCATTTCCTGAGAGGCAGCCTCTGGTGTAAGCTGCTGTGCTTCTCTCTCTCCCGCTTGCATGTGTTCATCACACTCTCTTCTCTCCTCTTCTCTCTGCCATCTGCTTTTCTCACTTGTCGATTTTTCAAAATAACCATGGTTTCCTTTTTTCTGTAAAGCACTTTCTTTCCTCTCACACCCCTTTTTCTTTAATAACTTCCTTTCTTTTTCTCTAAAACCTTCTTTCTTTTAATAACCTCCCTTATTTTTTCTCTTTCTTCTCATAAACCTCTTTTTAAAATAACCGCCCTTATGTTTTCTCTCTTTCCTCTCAGAACACACCTTATTTTCTAAAAAGGCCTGTCAACGATTTTTCTCTCAAAAACCCAGTCTTCTTCTAATCTTCATATGTAAAAACACACACGCAACGAACCCTAACATTCCCCATGGGAAAAAAAGAAAAGAAAAAAACTTTCCCTCCCCCAAAATGGCCATCTGTACCAAATGTGCACATGACTGGATAGGGGGCTGGAGAGCGAGACATAAATAAAAAAAGGGTGTGGAAACCTGTCAGAAATTACATGGTGATGAATGCTGATCAGTGGATTACTACTACTGTATCTTTTATATTGCTTGGACTCCGAGGGGCAAGAATTACCCAGCATAAACAAATGATCCCCAAGGCTTGGCCTGCATCAGCCCTTGGGGACATACAGATCTTGCTTATTGTAGAAGCTTCTATTACTTTTTGAAACTTAAGATTGGAACTCAGTTGTGTGTGTATGTTTATCCAATTTAACCGTGTAAATAACTCTTATTGCCTTTTCCTAGTTAATAAATCTTTGGATATTGTATTATAGGATTGGCTACAAGTGTTGTCTTGGTGTGAGATCTAAGGTGCAATTGCGCTGGGGTAAGTGACTGGTCCTTTAGGGCTGTTTTGAACCTGAATATTGCTGTGTCTTTGGTGTAAGGCACTGCTGCTATTACTTTTCCTGGTGGGTGCTTCTTTCCTGCTCTGCCCCGGGGTCCTGTCCCCACTCTGCCCCTTCCCCGGAGGCCCCGCCCTTGCTCCGCCTCTTCCTACCCCACTCCACCCCCTCCCTGAGCCCCCACCCTCACTCCACCTCTTCCTGCCCCCGCTCTGCCCACTCCCCCGAGGCTTCCCTGCCGGCTGCTCTCTGCCATCCCTCTAGCACCTCCCACCAGCCACCAAACAGCTGATCGGCGACCCCACTGATGGGTGCTGAGCATTCCCTATTTTTTTCTGTGATTGTTTGAGCCCCGAGTACCCACAGAGTTAGTGCCTATGGTATAAGGGACCATCTATCACAAAGGTAAGCTCACCTGGGTGGCAAGATAAATCGGAGTACCCAAAAGGAGTGTCTGTGACTCCATATTATGACTGTCATAGTGCCTGAGGAGTTTAAACTTGATAATTGGTTGGTGAAATCTAAGTATAGATCTCACAGCTAATTTGGGGATTGTGCCCTGCTTCTCAACAGTCTGTCCTGAGGTTGTATGCAGTGTAAGCTGTAGCTGTGTTGGTCCCATGATATTAGAGACACATGGTGGGGGAGGTAATATATGACCTTGCCCTGAGGTTGGCACTCATGCTCTTGAGCCACTGCAGGATAGCTTGACACCCACCCTTACAGCTTTGCCTGGAGGCTGTTTAAAATGAAACAGCGATGAAGTACAGTGGTGGTCACAGATGCGTCTGAGGCAGGGAGCTCCCATGGAAAGGCCAGGCCAACCCACCAACTCCTTGTGATGAAAGAAATCCAAGGAAGTGCTGGGGATGGAATCAGCCCGTGGGTGGGTGTGCTCAGCTAGCAGGATTTGTAGAGCACAGACAAGGGCCCAGCAAGAAGTGTTCCTTGGCAGGCGATTTGCTCGGAGGACATAGTCTCTGGTGCTTGGTGGAGAAGCCAGTTCCATGCTTGGCAGGCTCTGGAGGGAGGAGGAAACAGATACTATGGTGATGGGTGTTTTTATATAGACACCAACACCAGACATATGGCCAAAGAATTTGTGGAAACCAGCATTTCTCAGCTGCCCCCTCTCTTATTAGCCACCCCAGCAGGGAGGATTAATATCCAGAAAGACAAGCAGGTGCCAGAGGGAAGAAGCCCTTGGCAAATGCAGGCATCGTCCCCTTTCATCTGTGGTATTTCCCCTGTGTATATTTACAGTGAACAGGATTCCTTTGGGTTTGATTTAAATAGGATGATGCTGGAGTCTTGTGTTTATAATTAGTTAATTGGATGTACTGCGGTGGTCCCCAGAGGCCACAGCCATGCAGGGATTGGGGCCCTATTGTGCTGGACACAGGGGGCACAATATCAGATCACTGCAGTGACTGGCCTGACAAGCTGGACAGTGTGAGGAGGAGCCGGAGACTTGGCTAATGAAAGGATGGTCCCTGCCCCGTGAGCTCACACTCCAAGCACCACACAGAGACTTTGCACATAGACGGGATGCACCAAAGCACCAGAGCTGTCGGCTTGGATGCGCGGGTGCTCATGAGGCATTTCGCTTTGTAATACCTGTACTCCGATGAGCTTTTCCCCTGGGAAATATTCATTGGCTAGTTCATGTCTCCTGGACCAGCTCAGCTGTTAAAGCTCTAACCAATTGTGAAGGAACAATGAGGGGCCTGGTGCTTCTGTTAGCAAGGACCTGCTGACTGAACTGTTTGCCTCGGGACTTTGCCTATCTTTACACACCCCACCCACCAACAGATAGATCCCTCCTCTGCCCCCTTCCCGTTAGGGAATCCCTCACTGTCCAGGTCCTCCAAGGTCAGTGGGTATTAAAGGCTGCGGGAGGTTGAGCCTCCCCAAACAACCCTACATGGCCCAAACCATGCTCCACCCCCAGACCCACTCCTGCTTCCCTGCACTGTGTGGCTCTTCCCCCGTGGCCGGGGCCTGGGCTGGGGCTGGGGCTAGTGGGGGCCAACCTGTGGCCAGGGACTCCGGGCAGCTAGAGCCGGTGCTTGTGCCACTTGCCTGCCTGGTGCTCTGGGGTGGGGGCTGCCCTGCCTGCCCACCTGCTGCTCCGGGGCTCGGGGCCGCACTGCCCACCTGCCCAATGCTCTGGGGCTGGAGGTGCTCGGGCGGCCTGGGGCTGGAGGACAGGGGCTGGCGTCCGTGAGGAGCGGGGTGGCTCCGGGGCAGGAGGGGCTGGGCTTCAGACAGAAGGGGCAGGCTGGAGAGGGGGCTAGCTTCCCTGAACCCATCGTTCACCCACTGCCAATGAGTGACGCTGCAGCCCCTGTAACCATTTCCATCCTAACTGCCCTCTTCTGTACTGCTCTTCATATAGAGAGAGTGCTGGCTAATGTATCAAAGCACACTAGGATTGTAAACCCAGCTCTGCCAGTGACTTGCTGGGTGACCTTGGCCAAGCCACTTCCCTTCTCTGTGCCTCAGTTTCCCCCCATGGAATGGGGGAATGATCATAGAATCATAGAAGATTAGGGTTGGAAGAGACCTCAGGAGGCCATCTAGTCCAACCCCCTCCTCAAAGCAGGACCAACACCAACTAAATCATCCCAGCCAGGGCTTTGTCAAGCGGGCCTTAAAATCCTCTAAGGATGGAGATTCCACCACCTCCCTAGGCAACCCATTCCAGTGCTTCACCACTCTCCTCGTGAAATAGTGTTTCCTAATATCCACCTAGTTCTCCCCCACTGCAACTTGAGACCATTACTCCTTGTTCTGTCATCTGCCACCACTGAGAACAGCCGAGCTCCATCCTCTTTGGAACCCCCCTTCAGGTAGCTGAAGGCTGCTCTCAAATCCCCACTCAGTCTTTGAAGGGCTAAAATCTATCTGTTGTGTATGTAAAATCCTGACGCAGTCTATGGCAGCAACTTTGCACAGGCCCAAAGTCCAAAGCTTGGTCAAAGAGGCCTCGGGGCCGAGCAAACAGTGAACAATATTAGCTAAGACAAGTGGAACAAACAAGAGACAACCTCGTTTTTTACTAAAATAAGCATGGTCAGCAAAACTCCGGATGGGGAGCAGTAATTGGCGCTCTTATCTGAAGCTGCAAACAGACCAAAGTATTGAAAAGGGCCTCAATGTCCACTCCTCTGCAGCAAGAGATACCAATACCCTCGCCAAATACCAACCTTGAGTTCATGGAGAGGCTAGATATGACGTCCTCCCTCCCAATTGCCAGTGTCTGCCTTTAAAAACACAATGGGGCAACCTAAAAAACAATTTCTATTGCCATGTACTTTTCAATGTCTTTTTGCTTTAACCCCCAGAAATGTACCTGTTGGACAATCAGAGGAGCTACCTCATTCCTATGGACCCCAAAGCAGAACTCAACATATATATTTTATACTTGTACACTTTATACATTGTTTAAAGGAAAACACCTGTGTACTAACAGTATGTTACATGTTAACCTAAAACCATGGGCGGAGACATTATGTAATCTTTAGAATATTGGCTACTGTGCTTATCTTGTCTTGCTGCTAGACCTATCCAGAGGCTCGGGACCTCCCACCCCGTTGCTTCCCTCCACTCATGAAGATTCCATATAATCCGTTGTAATCAATTGCTTGGCAGTGTCTCTGAGCCTAATAAGCAAAGTGACGCTCCTCCAGCACTGTGCGTAATAAACCCATGTGTTTAATTCTGCATGGTGTCCATTTTGTTCCTTCACTCTTCTCTTCTGCAGACTAAATAACGCCAGTTCCCTCAGCCTCTTCTCATAAGTCATGTGCCCCAGCCCCTAGTCATTTTCATTGTCCTCTGTTGGACTCTCTCCAATTTGTCCACATCCTTTCTGTAATGGGGGCCCCGAAATTGGATGCAATACTCCAGATGTGGCCTCATGAGTGGCAAATAGAGGGGAATAATCACTTCCCTCAATCTGCTGGCAATGCTCCTACTAATGCAGCCCAATATACCATTAGCCTTCTTGGCAATTGGGGCACACTGTTGACTCATATCCAGCTTCTCATCCACTGTAATCCCCAGGTGCTTTTCTGAAGAACTGCCACTTAGCCATTTGGTCCACAGCCTGTGGCAGTACATGGGATTCTTCTGTCCTAAGTGCAGGACTCTGCTCTTGTCCTTGTTGAACCTCATCAGATTTCTTTTGGCCCAATCCTCCAATTTGTCTAGGTCACTCTGGATCCTATCTCTACCCTCCAGCATATCTACCTCTCCCCCGAGCTTAGTGTCATCTCCAAACTTGCTGAGAGTGCAATCCATCCCATCATCCAGATCATTAATAAGGATGTTGAACAAAACCAGTCCCAGGACTGACTGTGGGGTCACTTCTCTAGGTTGACCATATAGCAAGAGTGAAAAATAGGGACAGAGGTTGGGGGGGTAACAGGAGCCTATATAAGAAAAAGCCCCAATTATCGGGACTGTCCCTGTAAAATCGGGACATCTGGTCACCTGGCACTCCACTTGATACCGGCTGCCAACTAGACATCAAGCTGTTTATCACTACCCATTGAGCCCGACAATCTAGCCAGCTTTCTATCCACCTTATAGTCCATTAATCCAATCCATATTTTTGTAACCTGCTGGCAAGAATACTGTGGGAGACTGTATCAAAAGCTTTGCTAAAGTCAAGATATATCATAGAATCATTGAATCATAGAATATCAGGGTTGGAAGGGACCTCAGGAGGTCATCTAGTCCAACCCCCTGCTCAGAGCAGGACTGATCCCCAATTAAATCATCCCAGCCAGGGCTTTGTCAAGCCTGACCTTAAAAACTTCTAAGGAAGGAGATTCCACCACCTCCCTAGGTAACGCATTCCAGTGTTTCACCACCCTCCTAGTGAAAAACTGTTTCCTAATATCCAACCTAGTTCTCCCCCACTGCAACTTGAGACCATTACTCCTTGTTCTGTCATCTGCTACCACTGAGAACAGTCTAGAGCCATCCTCTTTGGAACCCCCTTTCAGGTAGTTGAAAGCAGCTATCAAATCCTCCCTCATTCTTCTCTTCCGTAGACTAAACAAGCCCAGTTCCCTCAGCCTCTCCTCATAACTCATGTGTTCCAGTCCCCTAATCATTTTTGTTGCCCTCCGCTGGACTCTTTCCAATTTTTCCACATCCTTCTTGTAGTGTGGAGCCCAAAACTGGACACAGTACTCCACATGAGGCCTCACCAGTGTCGAATAGAAGGGAAAGATCACGTCCCTCGATCTGCTGGCAATGCCCCTACTTATACACCCCAAAATGCCATTGGCCTTCTTGGCAACAAGGGCACTCTGTCGACTCATATCCAGCTTCTTGTCCACTGTAACCCCAAGGTCCTTTTCTGTAGAACTGCTGCCGAGGCATTCGGTCCCTAGTCTGTAGCGGTGCATGGGGTTCTTCCATCCTAAGTGCAGGACTCTGCACTTGTCCTTGTTGAACCTCATCAGATTTCTTTTGGCCCAATCCTCCAATTTGTCTAGGTCCCTCTGTATCCTATCCCTACCCTCCAGCGTATCTACCTCTCCTCCCAGTTTAGTGTCATCTGCAAATTTGCTGAGGGTGCAATCCACACCATCCTCCAGATCATTTATGAAGATATTGAACAAAACCGGCCCCAGGACTGACCCTTGGGGCACTCCACTTGATACCGGCTGTCAGCTAGACATGGAGCCATTGATCACGTCCACTGCTTTCCCCATAGCCCCAGAGCCAGTTATCTCATCATAGAAGGCAGTCAGGTTGGTCAGGCATGACTTGCCCTTGATGAATCCATGTTTACTTATGATGATAGTGACCAGCTTGAGGTGCTATAATCCCTTTTGCCTCCTTTGTGGTGCTGCTCTCTATCTCAGGTACTTGTAGGTCCCCCATTACCATAGCATCTGAACGCCTCCCAGTCTTTACCATATTTCTCCTCACAACCTGCCTGTGGGGCAGGGCAGGGCAGGGCTTCCGTCCTCATTGTACAGATAGGGAACTGAGGTCCACAGAGGCTAAAGCCCAGATTATTAAAGGCATTGCAATGCCTAGCTGATTTAGGAGCCTAAATTCCACCAACTGTCCTTTTAAAATAGGAGCGTCCACCTCTTATTTAGAGCAGCAGACCCATGAATTCTGAGAGACCCCTCTCTTTTGTGCCCTGCCTCTTCCCTGCCAGCAATGCTGCCCCACTCCTAGGTCTCTGCCCCTCCCTCCCCGCAGGTTGTGAGCCACACTTTCTGTGCCCACCAGCTTCATGCCATGAAGTCCTCTCTTCCAGCTGTGCTGTTGCTCTGAGCTGCATGCGTCGAGAGCAGCTTTCTCCTGGAGTAGCATAACTCCCCACTCGCAGCAGGAAGGGGAGACTGTTATTCCCATTATGCAGGTGGGGAAACTGAGGCACAGAGCAGGGATGTGTCTTGCCCAAGGTCGCACAGAAAGTTGCTTGCAGAACTGGGAATAGAAGAGCCCAGGAGTCCTGCTTCCCAGTCCGGCCCACAGAGTGAACATTTCCCTTCCAGAGACATGATACAGTAAAGTAGCCCTGCAAAGAGCTACTGTAAACTGTAAAATGTGGAAAGAAAAGGAAGAGGGACCAGACCCTATGATTTATATCTGGGAACTGAAGATACCAGATCCTATGGCCTGGTTAGATAGCACAGCTGGTTTTCGTGGGTGGTAACTGCTGAGTGGAGTCAACAAGCAATCTTGTGTTGGCAGGAGTGCTCAGCTGGAGTGAGGGGGTGGGGTGTGTGAAGAGGGCAGGGGGCTGCAGGAAGCACTTTGTCAATGGAAAATCGTGCAGCTCTGACACTTCTAGTCAACAGCAGACGTTTGTGTGTCAGCTGGTACCTCTGTGTGTGTGTGAGGGAGAGAGAAAGGAAGGGGGTGAGGCAGACTCTTTCTGCAGCCCCAGTCTCACCGCACAGACCTGTGAAAACTTCTGTTCTTCTAAGGATATAGCTTTGGTTTTGCACAAGCAAGAGCCCTTTGGGATGTTACTGATTAAGCCCATTAACAGTCACAGGGAAGCACCAGGGTCAGGGATGCAAGGGGGCCTCCAGCCTGGGAGGGGCGGGTCTGTGTACTAAAGTAGTTTGGTTTCCAATTCACATGCACACACACATACACAAACGTGCACAGACACACACAGGTGAACACACACACATACCCACACACACAGGGTCTGTCTTCAGGGCACAGTTAACTCGAGCTCCCTATGCTCCGATGACTCGACTCGAGTCAGCCCAGCTCACGAGAGAGCAGCCCCACTGTGCAGTAACCCTCCAGCTGCTGTGTCCACATTGGTGCTCCTGTGAGGCGCTACGGCTCCTGGGGGCCCGTCCCCTGGTTCTTAGCGCTGCTGTGAGCTGCTGCTCTGTGGATTCTTTCCCAGTGAACTAGGGGAGAACTTGTCTGTCCTTGCTGGGCCCACAGGGGAATTGTAGGAAGGTGCTGGAGGACTAGTAGCACTCAAGTGGAGCTGGCCTTCACAGAGCCTGGTTGTGTTAGCTGCTGACTAGTTGTGCCCACGCGAGCTGTCGCCTGTACCCCCGATGGCCCAGCCAGCTCCAGTTAAAAGCAGCACACTCGAATGAGGGGTTTGTGTGTGTGGACAAGACTCAGGTTAGGGGGAACACCCGCCGGAGAACTCGAGTTAACTCTGCAGTAAAGACAAGTGATTTCAGAGGGACCTGCTCACTCACACACCCAAAATTAAGCTGAACATGTATGTAGGATCAGAGCCTAAGTTACACACATGTGCTCTGGGTCATAGGCCTGCCCTGATCGGCTTGAGGAAAGGGGTGAGTTTTTACCCCACTATCAGGCAGCATGCGGGGAGGAATAGCTCAGTGGTTTGAGCATTGGCCATTTAGGGATCTGGGGCAAAAATTGGGTCCTGCTTTGAGTAGGGGGTTGAACTAGATGACCTCCTGACGTCCTTTCCAACCCTGATATTCTATGGCATGAAGTTAGCACTATGCTTCTCCTGGGGGTAAAGGGCCTTTTTCTTCTGTGTTTTTTCCTTGGGAATATTTTTTAATTTCTCTGTAACTAGTTTCATGCAGCTCTGAAACCAGCCTCCTGTATCCTCTGCCGAACCTGCCCTCTGAGAAAGGGAGGCAAAGGCACAAACTCTTCCAATTTTTACTTTGTGCAGTTGCAAGAGATGTGAGGCCAGTGCTGCCCACCTCATGTCAGGCCTGTGTTTGCATCTGAGCTAACAGCGGGGAGGATCACAATTATACTAACCCAGCCTCCTCAAAGATCTTTTGAAAATGGCCAGTCAACAGCACACGCACCCTGTGATGTTCCCCTCTGGTGTTATCTGGACCAGTGATCTGCTAGGTCACTCCAGTCCTGGACTCTGGGAGCCAGCCTTATCCTGCCCTGCTGTGAGAACCCCACTCCTGGGCTGTTCACGCACAGCCTCTGGCATGTAAGCTGCTCCTTGGATTGTGCAACCGAATGACACTAGCCAATATCTCTAGTCCCAGACACCACCCTAGGAACCTCCATTTTGCAGTGTCCAGTTAAGCACACTGGACACTGCAAACCTACATGAGTTTGTCAATTTAACAAAGAAATTGATATGTACAAGGCTTGTTATCCCAAGGGGAGTCTTACATGCTTCAAACCAAACGCACTGCTTCAGGTAGAATAAACAAACAAACAAACAAACAACATTTAT